CATTTTTGGAAATTCTAGAATAGTAAAATCAATGTTTCTCTCAATAAATTTTGCACGGGTGTGTCTTTAAACTTGAATTCAACTTTTTCTCATTTCAACAACAAATTTTATAAACAAGTTTTTGGTTCTCCAAAGGGCACTCCTTGTAGTCCGGTGCTGTATGATCTTGTAGTGCGTTTGCTTGAAATTTCGTGCTTAAAGAAGTAATGTTTTGAGTTCCACTGTATGTACGGTATGTGGATGATATCCTTATATGTGTGCCTACTAAATATATCAATCATACAGAAAAAAATTTTTAGTAGCGATTGTCCTGAATTACAATTCACTATTAAAACGTGTAATAACAACAGCATGGATTTTTCAATTTGAAAATTATCATTTAACAAAATAACACAGTACTAACTAATTGCTATCAAAAACCCACACACTGAAGCCGATACTTGAATTGACTCTTTCCCACCATCCAATACAACATGAAAAAGGTATCATTTACACACTAGTAGCCTTTTCATTAAATGAATAGACACTCAATTACATAATGATAATTTAAAATTGATCGATAGATTTTTACTAGCTAACAACTAACCTCAAAGATTTATTGATAAATTTTTAAATAAAAGAATTAATACGTTAAAGAACATGAGAATGATTGACAATCGCAATAGAAATGATAATAATTATTATCTAATCTTATCATTACCGTATATTCTCCACTTGCACAGTCCTATTAAATAATATTGTAAGAAGTTTCACATGGGTCTTGTATACAGTTTAAACAATAAATTGAATTTGATCTTTCCACTTAAAAAAGATGTAACTGAGCCATTCGATAAAAATTATGTCGTTTAACACATACCATGTGCAAATTGCAATTGCTGCACTGAGAAAAGTAGTGTTAAAAAAAGTATTATAACTGTACTAAAAATTACTATATTTTTAGGAAAGCTAAGTGTTTATTTTTTGACTTTTAAACCTTTTCTGCTTTCGTGACCTGAAGATACGAAGGTCACGAAATGAGCAGAAATTTTTTTTAATGCTCGAAAATTTAAATGCGCATTTAAATTTTCTCCCTGGATAATAATGCTCCAGTTCCGAGAAATCTCCTTTATTTCTTTATATGGGATTGGCAAGAGATTAACAACCAAAAATCGACTATTAAGTAATGATAATTTGTATTTAACAAAATAATATACAAAATGTAAGTTGACCAAGAGTTCGCTACGAGGAAACACGAATCTCAGTACGTGGTATAAAGGACGAAGCTCGAGACGACGATGTAGCAAGTCGTTCGAGAAGACCTTGGACTTAATCATAAGCAAGAAAGACTTTAAAGGGGCTCAGCTCGAGACGACGATGAAGCTAGTCGAACGAGCTGGCCTCCAAGAATCAGGCTGATCCTGTTATCCTTTTAATTCGTTAACAAATCACCTCTACTCAGAGAAGACGTGCGCTATACCTTAGGCGACTAGTTAGCGACGATGAGAAGGCTGCCCTGATCCTGTCACAATGGTTGCGAGTTTAGCCATAGAAAAGCTGCAGCGACTTTAAATATCAAGCTCGACTACGCGGGAGCGACTTGATACTTGAAAGGTCCGCGTGCTAGTAGAAGGAGCTCAGCCGAATACGCGAGCTCGCCAGCAAAGATACTCGGCGCTCGAGGCCGGAGAGGGAGAGGAAGCACCCACACCTGCGGGTATTGTACTAATTACCCGAGTCAACGACCAAGTGTGTGTGCTCCCACTACTCCAGGCTCCCATCTCCTCGCGCCTACATTAGAACGCGTTAACTACACTGATCCCGACAGCCTTCTCTCACAATATTCACTCTTAAGTGAACATATCGCCCGCCTTGACGAATTCAGCGT